TTGATGGAAAACTGACAAAATTAAGCTCTCACGAATTTTGACGAGTCAGTGATATTTACAAGTTGGTGAATTTGTCCACTTTGTCTCCCATTTTAGGCCAATTACATTATTCCAGTTGACCAAATTCTTAGCTATTTTGCCAGCATTACTTCTATTTTATCGAGCACAAGAAATCGCCCAATCAACTACTGTATTTCAACTACCCAATAAAGTGATTGGAAATCAGTAATTTGGCCAATGTCACACAAAGTTCAAAATATTCCAATTTCAAAATAGGGTCCAGAATAAACAAGGCAGGCATCCCTGGCACTAAATTAACATTTCCTCTGTTTTTTTTTAGTTACGTTTCCATGCTTTACAAATGAATTCCACTTTGATTTTTTATTCACAATGAATTTTTATCCACACCAAAAAAAAAACAGAAGATTTACTGTTATGCAATATTGTAATAACTGTATAAATAATATCACCGCATTCGTGAACGCACATCAGACCCACCAGCTGACGTATTGGACATTTTTTTTTTTTGCCCTCGAACATCGGCAAAAATTTAACATTTCCACTACTTCGATCTCAATTTCAAGCTATTTTCAGTACTAAAACCAATCAAAATCATCTCTATTTCTGTAACATACAGTGGAACCTCAAAAATCGAACATATCACATATTGAATGTTTCAAAAATAGGACCCTTTTTTCAGGCAAACTGTGTCCTTATTGAAAGCGCCCCTATTTTCAGACCGCCGGGTACGGGACCTGTCCACCGGACTGCTCTGCCCGCGTCCCCGCACAGGCGCCGTGAGCAGTCTAGCTTTGTTTATGCTTGAGTGAACACTAACCTGCACTCTTATTCACACATTTTACGATTATTTCATTGTGTTTAGTGCTTGTGGGACTGTGAAATAACCTGCCATGGGCCCAAAGAAACTGGTTAGTGGTATCCCTGTGGTAAAGGAAGTGAGAAACACCATAGATGTGAAGAAGGAAATACAGAAGTATGAGAGTGGAATGATGTCCAAATGTTTGTGCAGAAGTACCACCCTGAGCAAGCTGAAACAAGACATCTTTGCAACAAGTTCAGTGACAGAACCATGTCCCATTTTAGGGAAATGTTAAAGAGGTGCCAGAAACAGAGGTCTGTGCACAGTTATTTTGTGAGACAGGGGTCCAGTGACTCAAGCTGGTCCTAGTGGCATTAAAAGACAGAAGGGAAGTAACCTCAGAGAGGGCTTTACCTGAAGTCCTCATGGAGGGGGATTCTCCTTCCAAACACTAATCCCAACTCCCTCTCTCCTCCTCCCTACCTTCCAAATGCCATCACCAATCTTCAATAAAATTAAGTAAAAATGTTATTTTATATGTATTACTATACATAATTAAAAACTATAGTACAGTGGACCCCCGGTTAACGATACTTTTTCATTCCAGAAGTATGTTCAGGTGCCAATACTAACCGAATTTGTTCCCATAAGGAATATTGTGAAGTAGATTAGTTCATTTCAGACCCCCAAACATACACGTACAAACGCACTTACATAAATACACTTACATAATTGGTCGCATTGGGAGGTGATCGTTAAGCGGGGGTCCACTGTATATGTTGTATGTAAAACTGTAATTTATCTCTATAAAACGTATTTTTTGTGTGAATATTTTTGGGTTTCTGGAACGGATTAATTGTATTTCCATTATTTCTTGTGGGAAATATTGCTTCGAATTTCAGACTTTTCGAATTTAGAACTAGCTCCTGGAACGGATTAAGTTCGAAATTTGAGGTTCCACTGTATCTTCCATTCTATCAAATGAGATCAAGAAACCGCGAATACTACCGTAAAAAAACATACGAAAATACATTGCAAAGTCACGGTTTTGATATAAAAAACACGGTCTCAGTTTTTTTCTCATGCATTGCGTGCTGCAGGAATTGTTTTATATGGCTCACACTTACCGCACAGATGTATTCTCTCATATCTAGGCCCAAATTTACTGCTCACAGCTTACCTGAGTGAGCTGAGCTCATGGCATAGAACTATGGCTTGGACCTTGGCTTCAAAGCTGTGGAACTACGTGACGGACCCTCAAAAGCCTCAAAAGATAACAAAAAAAGGCACAATACCATGACTGGAACAATACACAAATAACCCGCACATAGAAGAGAAGCTTACGACGACATTTCGGTCCAACTGACCATTTACAAAGTCACACTATAAATGGTCCAAGTTGGACCGAAACAACGTCGTAAGCTCTTCTCTGTGGGGGTTATTTGTGTACCCTCAAAGGGTTACACATCGTTCGTATAAACAAACTTTTTGGTATTTCATTGTTATTCTGTGGTGTTTTAATATTTTCATTGAAAATAAGTAATCATGGCCCCAAAAGAGAAGTTATCCAAACAAGTCTCAAAAGAAAGCAGTGAAAACAACAATTAAAGTGAAAAAAGAACTCGCTGCAAAGTGGAACACGTGTGTCGGACCTGGCCACTCAATGTATGGTAAAACCCACCATACTGTCCATTTTGAAAAATGGAAAGGCAGTGAAAGAGGCTGATATGGCAAAAGGGGTGAAAATTCTTTAGAAAAAGGTCACATAATTGAAGAGATGGAAAAAACTTATTAGCGTGGATTAACAAAAAACAACTTGATGGTGACAGCATTTCTGAAACAATAATTTGTGAAAAAGCAAGAGTTGTATAGTGATGTTAGGCAAGACACCCCAGGAAATGGTGTTGAAAGTGATGAATTTAAGGCAAGTAGGGGCTGGTTTGATAGGTTTAAAAAGAGGAGTGGGATTCATAGTGTACCAAGGCATGGGGAGGCTGCCAGTGCTAACAGATGCTGAAAATTTTGTTAGGGAATTTAAAATTGGAAGTGAATGTCCAAGAAAACCTACATCACACAAGAAAAATCATTACCAGGACAAGCTCATGAAAGACAGGCTAACACTCTTGCTGTGTGATAATGTTAGTGGGGACTGCAAATTTAAACTGCTGCTAGTGTATCCTTTGAAAATCCAAGGGTGCTTAAGAAAAACATTGTGATAAAGAGTAAATAGTGTAATGTGGAGGGCTAATAGTAAAGCTTGGATAATAAGGCAGTTCTTCACCGAGTGCTTACATGAAGTACTTGCCCCAAGTGTGAAGCAGTACGATAAGAGAACACTAAGTGTCAAGGACCCAAGAATGTTCAACTGCCTCTCAGCATACATAATGGAGATTACCAACAGACCCCTGGCTGTCTTCAAGAAGGCTTTGGACAGACACCTAAAGTCAGTACCTGATCAGCTGGGCTGTGGTACGTCTGTTTACGTGTGGCCAACAGTAACAGCCTTGTTGACCAGGCCCCGATTCCACCACGACACGAGGCCTGGTCACAAACCAGGCCACAGGGGCACTGGCCTCCGAAACCCTCTCCACCTTGCGGAAAAAAATTACCATTATGAACACTTCTGGTAATGGACAATGGTCCTGCTCACCCTCCAGGCTTGGAGTGAAATTTGGCGGATAACACAGCTTCATTAAAGTTCTTGCCCCTTAGTACCACCACTCTTATCCAACCCAGGGACCAGCAGGTAATTCCCAATTTTAACAAACTTTGCACAAAAGCAATGTTTAAAAGGCAATTTGAAGTGACCTCTGAAGCAGAGATTACACAGAATTTTTTCATGGCAATTAACTCTGCCTGGAAGAAATTATGGCTAGATTGTGTCAGACATTGTTTTACTGGATCAGTCCATGGATTTGGAAATGGACAATGATGTAGAGGAGTTAGACGAGGATCACAAGAATGAGCTTGCCACAGAAAAACTAAGACCTGCACAAGGAGCAGCAAGAAGTGGCTGAGGAAATTTCTTCTTCTGAAGAGAAGGGAAGCAGTAAGGGCAACATTTCCACTGCATAAATTAAGGAACTGTTACCATTTGGCTCAGACTGGTGGAAAAATGGCATCCTAACATTACTGTTGTGAATAGGAGCATTAACCTGTTCAATGACAACGTTGCTGACCACTTTAAAAAAGTTCTGTAATGTCATTAAAAGCAGACAACATTGAACAGCTTCTTTAGTAAAGAAAAAAAATGCTAGTGCATCCCCATCATCAAGTACTGCTGCACAGAAAAAAAAAAAAAACATTAGACTGGCAGTTACCTGATGTTTTTATGGGTAACACCCTTTCCAAACAATAACATCTCTCCACCTTCCTCTTAGGCCATCAGCACTCCTTGGTAAAAGTAAAGTGCAGTTAAATTTCCATTTATTTTATGTATTCATTGTTTTTATAGTTTTCATGTGTAATTTTATGCATGCATATATTATACAGGTTTAAATAAGCAATATTTTCACTGAAAATGTTTTGTAATAGGTAATTTTGGGGGGTCTCAAACAGATTAATCCAATTTGCATTATTTCTTACAGAAAAATTTATTCAATATTCATACAATTTGCTATTTGAACAGCCTCCCAGAGCAGATTAAATTTGAATATTGAGGTGCCACTGTATTAGGAATTTGATACTTTCATCTCATCTCAAGCTATAATGTGGGCTTCTACAGGAAAATGTGATTCCTTTAACATATTTTTAGCTTAATAAACCATTCCTTTGGTCCCTGTCTAGGTCAGTAAGCAGAGGTCAACTGTATTTAGGTTAGGTTAATGTCAATTACTTAAATTTAATCAACTATAACACTAATTCAGTAATACACAAAGAAAACTATTTTGATGCACATATATAAAATTGGGAATCACCAAGAATAAGGAAGCATGACAGAAAAATTCCAACATTCTCATTTTAGTGTTTCAATCACTTCAAGGTCTTCAACAGCAGTATAATACCATTTGATTAGGAGGTTAGGTTGGCATAAAAGTTGATTACAGTAGTATTCTACATTGTCAGACTGATTAGTGTGTATTATATACCAAACTAATTAAATCAGGCAAAGTACATACTGCACTACATATTGAGGAAACAACAGTAAGAATAAGGGCTATAAAATTAGGTACAATCTTACCGATTGATACTCGGCTCTTTGAAGGATGTAACTTTTACTGCTGCTCTTCTTTTTCTAGGCTGGGGAGATTCTAAAAATAAAATTTCAGGTTCCTCATATTTTTCTACAGTTGGCTCAAGTGTTTCTTTGTTTTGATCTTCACAACTCTTCACTGCAGCCACCACTGTAGACAATGCTCTACTCTGACCCTCCTCCTGTGTTTTGTCTTGTTGTCTCTGATGTTCTATCTGTTGTACAAAGAGATCCTCCAACCTTTGCTCTCCTTCACCATGCTGACCCAATTCATGAATGTTATCTCTCTCTTTCATCATGTTTTCTTGCTTATCTAACTGTTGCCCATCTCTTTTTCCTTTTGTAATGCATTTCATGCCCTTTGGTGAATATCGATTTTTTTCACCAGCCAAATGTTCTTCCTGAGTATCGCTACCACTTTCTACTTGCTGTTCCCTATCTTGAACTTTGGTATTTGCATTCTGGCAACCATCTAAAAATTAAAAATTCTCATTTTTATAAAATAAATGAAGAATATGCCTAAGGAGAATACTTTAGTAAAAGTAAGAAAAACATCTGCAAAGCAACTATGAGTAATAATTATCAAATAATTATTTATGAGATAACTATATCTATCAGCAAAGTAAGTTTTCACTTCTCTAGGCTCCCAAAATTATTGGAATTAAAATTTCAATACTTTTCTAAAGAGTTAAAATCAGTTTAAAAAAAATATACTTAAAGTACATTGAAGTGCCTGAAAACTTGAGTAAGAAATTTATATTTAAATGAACTTAAATAAATAATCGAATCCCGTAGGTGTCAAAAAAGGCTATTATAATGCCGAGAGCAAGGAGCTAGTAATCCCTTCTTTATTCAATTAGTAAAATGTCAAAGAAAACAAAATGTTGAAATGGGGACGTTTGAATGTGGGTGCAGTACAGCTAATAAGCAAGTACTGATTAGTAATGTTATGAAAGAAAAGAAGCTAGATGTCCTACTACTAAGTGAAACAAATCTAAAATGGGTGGGAGAATTTTATAGGGAAGGCATAAATGAAATTGTTTAGTGTGTCCAAGAGACTTAGAGGTAAAGGAGTAGCAGTAATATTAAATACTCTATGGAGAGAGAGAGAGAGAGAGAGAGAGAGAGAGAGAGAGAGAGAGAGAGAGAGAGAGAGAGAGAGAGAGAGAAAGAGAAAGAAAGAGAGAAAGAGAGAAAGAAAGAGGAGAAAGAGAGAAAGAGAGAGAGAAAGAAGGAAAGAGAGAGGAGAGAGAGAAAGAGAGAGAGAAAGAAAAGAGAGAGAAAGAAGAGAGAGAGAGAAGAGAGAGAGAGGAGAGAGAGAGAGAGAGGAGAAAGAGAGAGAAAGAAGAGAGAAAAGAGAGAGAAAGAAAAAAAAGAAAGGAGAAGAAAAGAAAGAAAGAAAGAGAGAAAAAAAAGAAAGAAAGAAAAGAAAAGAAGAAAAGAAAGAAAAAAGAAAAGAAAAAAGGGGAAAGAGAGAAAGACAAGAAAGAAGAGAAAAGAGAAGAAAAGAAGAAAGAGAGAAAGTGAGAAAGAGAAGAGAGAGGAAGAAAGAGAAGAGAGAGAAAGAGAGAAAGAGAGAGAGAGGAAAAGAAAGAGAAGAGAGAGGAAAGAGAGAGAGAAGAAAAGAAGAAAGAGAGAGAAAGAGAGAAAGAGAGGAGAGAGAGAGAGAGAAAGAGAGAGAGAAGAAAGAGAAAAGAGAAAGAGAAGAGAAGAGAGAAAGAGAGAGAGAAAGAGAGAGAGAAAGAGAGGAGAGAAGAGAGAGAGGGAGAAAGAGAGGAGAGAGAGAGAGGAGAAAGAGAGAGAGAGAGAGAAAAGAGGAGAGAGAAGAAGAGGAGGGAAGAGAGAGAGGAAAGAGAAAGAGAAGAGAGAAGAGAGAGAGAGAGAGAGAAAGAGAAGAGAGAGAGAAGAGAGAGAAAGAGGAGAGAGAGAAAAAGAGAGAGAGAAGAGAGAGAGAAAGAGAGAAAGGGGAAGGAGAGAGAAGAGAGGAGAGAGAGAGAGAGAGAAGGAGGAAAGAGAGAGAGAGAGAGAGAGAGAGAGAGAGAGAAGAGAGAGAGAGAGAAAGAGAGAAAAAGAGAGAGAAAGAGAGAGAGAGAGAGAAAAGAGAGAAAGAGAGGAGAGAGAGGGGAAAAAGAGAGAGAGAGAGAGAGGAGAGAGAGAGAGAGAAAGAGAGAGAAAAAGAGAGAGAGAGAGAAGGAGAAAGGAGAGAGAGAAGAAGAGAGAGAGAGAAAGAGAGAGAGGGAAAGAGAGAGAAGAGAAGAGAAGAGAGAGAGAGAGAGAGAGAAGAGAGAGAGAAAGAGAGAGAAAAGAGAAAGAGAGAAAGAGGAGAGAAGAAAGAGAGAAAGCGAAAGAGAAGAGAAAGGAGAGAAAGAGAGAAAGAGAGGAGAGAGAGAGAGAGAGAGAGGAGGAGGAGAGAAGGAGAGAGAGAGAGAGAGAGAGAGAGAGAAAGAGAGAGGAGGAGAGAAAGAGAGGAGAGAGAGAGAGAGAGAGAGAGAGAGGAGAAGAGAGGGGAGAGAGAGAAGAGAGAGGAAGAAGAGAGAGAGAAGAGGAGAGAGAGGTGAGAGAGAGAAGAGGAGAGAGAGAGAGAGGAGAGAGAGAGGAGGAGGGAAAGAGAGAGAGAGAGAGAGAAGAGAAAAAGAGAGAGAGAAAGAGAGAGAGAGAGAGAGAGAGAGAGAGAGAGAGAGAGAGAGAGAGAGAGAGAATTTTAAGCCTCCACCACATTTTGCATTGAATGACCCACATGGGTTTAACGCTAAACAAATTAAAAAAAAAAAAATCAAAGATTTGGGACCAGTGTTTAAAATACCTGATCAGTCAAGTTGTGATAGCTAGGTAGGCTTTTGGGCTTCTACCTGCAACAGCCTAGTTAACCAGGCAGTTAACTAGGAAGTTTGGCCTCAGACTGAGCTGCAAAAGTAAAACCCTTTGACAATGGTCACTAGGTCTCTGATATTCTCATGATCGCCTCTTGAAGTCAATGCCACGAGCGTGGTGCTATGCACCAGACTTATCAGGTCAGATACATGTGACTCGGTGATCATAAAAGCATTTGGAATTCAAATATCTTTCAGTATTGTTAAGCTGCATGCTAACCCTTAAATAATAGTGTTACACAGTACAGTATATGGTTGGGTGACAACTAGGCATAATGTATATGTACTCAAAAATTATAACTTTCAAATTTCCTATAAACTCACCATTTTAAGGCTTAAAATAAAACTCTTACATTAAGCATAACCAAGTATATCCCAGGAAAATATCCTGCTCACACTGTGCATTAGGGTAGGTGAAAATATAGTACTGCATCAAGCATCATGTCAAATTTGACAAAAATAATCTTACAAACTTTTTTTTTTTTTTTATATGAACATATCGGCTATTTCCCCACCAATGCTGGGTGACCCAAAAAAGAGGAAACATTTTCATCATCATTCACTCCATCACCTTGTCAGAATCGTGCCTACATGACAGTTAAAAACAAAACTGCATATCAACACCCTGCCTTCGGAGTGCAGGCACTGCACTTCCAATCTCCAGGGCTCAAGTCTAACCAGTTTCCCTGAATCCCTTCATAAATGCTACTTTGTTCACTCTCCAACAGCAGGTCAAGTCATAAAAACCATTTATTTCCACTCGCTCCTATAACATGTTCACACGCATTTGCTGGAAGCCCAAACCCTTTGCACACAAAACCTCCTTTACTGCCTCCTTCCAACCTTTCCTAGGACAACCCCTACCCTGCCTTCCTTCCACGACAGATTTATATGCCTTCCATTCTATTTTGTTCCATCCTCAACCACCTCAATAATTCTTCCTCTGCCCTCTGGATACTACTTTTATAAACCCTACACTTCCTAATCTCCAAGCTACAGATTCTCTGCATTATATTCACACCGTACAATGCCCTCAGACACGACATCTTTACTGCCTCCAGCAATCTTGTTGCAACATTCAGGAGGCTTGGTCATGGACTGGGATGTGGGGGTGTTGATCCCCTCCAGGCAGACTCGTGCTTCACACCCAAATAAGAGCAGATACACTATACTCTTGTACATTTCCCTCTGCTTCCATGGATAACGTTGTTTGTCTTCAAAGACTCCTCAGTGTTCCATGCCTTTTTTCCCCCAATCAATTTATGATTCACAAGTCTTTCATAGACCCATCTGCTGACAAGTCCACTCCCAAATTTCATAATACATTCACTTCTATATTCCCTCCTTCCAATCTGACATTCAATCTTTCATTACCTAATTTTTTTTTTATCCTCATCACCTTGCCCTTTCTTTCTTTTACATACCATTCCAAACTCCTTCACCAACCTCTGCAACTTCTCTTCAGAATATCCCAAAAGCACAGTGTTATCAGCCAAAAGCAACTGTGATAACTCCCACTTTGTGTTAGATTCTCTATCTCTTAATCCCACACCTCTTGCCAACACATGAGCATTTATAAATATACTGAACAACCATGGTGACATCACATCCCTATCTAAGGCCTAATCTTACTGGGAAATAATCTCCCTCTCTCCTACATACTCTAACCTCATAAAAACTAACTGCTTTCAGTAACCTACCACCTATTCCATACATTTGCAACATCTGCCATATTGCTTTGGTATCCACCCTAACATATGCCTTTTCCAAATCCATAAATGCAACAAAAAGCTCTTTACCCTTATCTAAATACTGTTCACCTATATGCTTCACTGTAAACACTTGGTCTACACACCCCCTACCCTTCCTAAAGCCTCCTTGCTTATCTGTGATCCTGCTCTCCATCTTACTGTTAATTCTTTCAATAATAAATAAACCACACACTTTACCAGGTATACTCGCCACGCTTATTCCCCTATAATTTTTACACTCTCGTCCCCTTTGCCTTTATACAAAGGAACTATGCATGCTTTCTGCCAATCCCTAGGTACCTTCCCCCTTCCATATATTTATTAAATAAAATCACCAACCATTAAAAAAAATATCCCCACCTGCTATTAACACTGCCTTTATGCCATCAATCCCATCTGCTTTACCCACTTTCATTCTACCTACTGCCTCGCACCTCCCCCCCCCCCCCACTCAACTGGCTCTTCCTCACTCCAAGATGTTACACCTCCCTGCCCAATGCACAAAATTACAACTTCCTTACCTTCATCAACATTTAACAGTTCCTCAAAATATTCCATTCCCTCCATCTTTCCAATACTTCCACCTCTCCATCTAGTAACTCTTCTCTCCCAGTTTTAACTAGGAAATTCATTCGTTCCCTTGGCTTTCTTAACTTATTAATTTAATACCACTCCAAAACTATTATTCTCTGCAAAAAGTGTTTATAGTATCTCGCCCACTCTCATTTGCTCTTTTACATTCCTTCACCACTCTCTTAACCCCTCTCTCCATATACTCATTCCTTGCATCAGTTCTACTTTGTAAAAACCTCTCAAGCTAATTTTCTCTCTCTTACTACTTTCTTTACCTTTTCATTCCACCAATCACTCCTCTTCCCTCCTGCACTCATTTTCCTGTAACCACACACTTCTGCAGAACACTAACACTACATTCTTAAATCTATCCCGTACTTAACAGAAATACTATTGTATAGTAAAGGAGGTTTTGAGCACTAGGGGTTGGGACATCCAATAGGCTTGTGCAAGAGCATTAGACAGGAGTGGAAGCAAGTGATTTTTATTATCTGATGTGCTGTTGGAGTATGAGCAAGATAAAATTTATAGAGCGATTCAAAGAAATTGGTCAGCCAGACTAGTCCTAGAGGTGGTAGGTATACTGCCCCTACATCTGAAGGAGGGGTGGTGATACTGCAGCTCAGAGAGCATCTGAACTATGATGTTGGCATCCACCAGGCATGACTGAGTGAATGAATGACAGTGATACTGTTGTCGTCTTGGTCAGATCACCCTACTTCAGTGGGAGATGGCCAGTGTAAAAAAAAAAATGTATACACAATTTAGTGATGCTATATGTACAATTTTGCCAGGTAACTATAGTGTGTCACACTTCAACATATAAAAAAACAAGGCACCAATGTCTTAGTTTTCTTTTCATATACAGTATAGTTGTATTCAGTTTTGATGCTCTACAGTTTTGAAAGAATTATAGAAATAAAAAATATCTTTAGCAAAGCTATCATGAGTCCCACCAAAGTACAGCTGAATGGTTAAGAAATTTTATCTTGTGCATGTATGAACAAATACAAATACATACTCAATTCTACTGCATTCAGCCACCTACCTGATATAGGTGACTGATCCAGGGCCTTCCTTATCCCATTTTCAATGTTTGTTATTTTCTCTCTGCTTTTTTTGGACTTGAAGGGCGTTATTGGTGATAACGGAAATTGACTATCATCAAGTTTCAGCTGCAGAGACACATCTGGGCTATCAATGGGTTCTTTGATATTTTTAATACTCGTCCGATGAACTTTAACATAGCAGGAAGTCAAAGAAGTGTTTGGAGTTATACACTGGGATTCTGTGGTTTTACTCAATATCACACTTCCTGCTCCTCTGTTATCTTGATTTTCTTTATTAATGAGGTCTTCACTTATTTCATCTTCGTCAAGGCTAATATCTGGTGTTGTTCTTGTAGATTCAGAATCATTCTCATTCATTCTTTTACCAAGTGATTTTTTAAAAGTTTCACTATCAATTACAGGCGATCTTTTTCTACCGGCAAGAGATTTTTTTGTCTGTGCCTTTCTCGAGAATGTCCTCCTTTGTTTATAGGTTTTGTATTTTTTGATGCCAGGCCTCCACAACTCGTCTTCCTCCTTATCTTCACTGTCTTCCTCTCTGCACTTATCTTTTAAGGAATACCTTAACATCTTTCTTCTTACAGGTGCTTTTTTCACTGAGCTTTCTGAAGTAGACTTTTGATGATTCTTTCTCATCTTTCCATTAGATACACTTTCAGAGTTTCCAGAGCATGATGATGTTTCAGAAAAGCTAACTGTTGGTGTGTACTTCTCTGCAGCTTCTCTGGGACTCTTCAATACATCCTCAAGAACAATAGATACTTTTCGTAAACTCACAAATATTTCAGGAGTTTCTTTTGTATGACTGTGATTTTCAAACTGTGGCGGCAAATTTTCCTTTTCAATAGTCCTCTGTGAAGAATATGGAGGAATATTGACATGAGTTGCATCCATTAGTGACACATCAAATGGAGTTTTTTCTGCTACTTCTGCCTCGACTTCAGATTGTTCTCTTGACTGAGCCTTAAAGAATCTCTTCTCCATCTGTGCCTCCTTGCCATTCTGCTCTTCCTTGGAGGCATCAGCCGCAACACGAGCAAGGATTTTTGAAATAGGCTCAGTGATATCCATGCTCACATTATGCAAACATGTTAAGTTATTATCATTCATCCAATCTACCTGCTGGCTGGGAAATGGAAGACTTGGTGGTGGGGGCATGGAGAGGGTGTTTTGGTGGTGAGATATATTGCCAGGCTCTTGATCACTTTCAACTATTTCTTCTAAATGGAGATTCAAAGACAAATCATTTTTTGCAACATCATTTTTCTCATCTGTGTTCCTTTGCACTTCTTGACTTGGCAATAAAGTTCTTTTCTGCTTCTCAGGGATGGTTTCATTTAGTTTCGCCCTGTCTACACTCTGCGAACACCCTCGAGATCGTGCTTTTGATCGACGGCCAGCTCTAGCCTCTAATTTCTCCAGCCTACACAGCATGGTAGCTGGAGAAGCTAAATAACTATGGTCTAAAGTATTAGCTGAAGCTTCTATCACTGGTGTCACTGTAGGAAATGGATCTTCACAAGAAGCACCTTTACTGCTCTTTGAACTTTCTGTTAGATTATCATTTTCACTATCAGTCGAAGACTCCAGCTCACCACGACTGGACTGCCATGAGGAAGAGCCAGTACCAGTCTTTATTCTCCCTCTTCGGCCACCTCTACTCCGTCCTCTTGAGCTGCCAGTAGAGCGGTTTGCTGTAAGGTCAGTGTACCACCAGCTGGAACCCTCCAGAGGGTCCTCATCACACACTGCTACCGATTTCACTGCAATTTTTTTTTCTTCATTTTCCACAAAATTCTCCTAGAATTAAAGATTAAATGTAATTAGCCATTCAGCTTTTCCTCAAAAGTGTGATGTCTAAATAAATAAATAAAATAAATAAATAAATAAAGCAGAAGCGTTATAAGAAGAGCAGAGTATATGGAGAGTAAAAGAAAGGTAAAGAGTGGTGAGAGAGTGCAAAAGGAGAGCAGATGATAGAGTGGGAGAGGCACTGTCAAGAAATTTTAATGAAAATAAGAAAAAATTTTGGAGTGAGTTAAACAAGTTAAGAAAGCCTAGGGAAAGTATGGATTTGTCAGTTAAAAGCAGAGTAGGGGAGTTAGTAGATGGGGAGATGGAGGTATTAGGTAGATGGCGAGAATATTTTGAGGAACTTTTAAATGTTAAGGAAGAAAGAGAGGCAGTAATTTCATGCACTGGTCAGGGAGGTATACCATCTTTTAGGAGTGAAGAAGAGCAGAATGTAAGTGTGGGGGAGGTACGCGAGGCATTACGTAGAATGAAAGGGGGTAAAGCAGCTGGAACTGATGGGATCATGACAGAAATGTTAAAAGCAGGGGAAGATATAGTGTTGGAGTGGTTGGTACTTTTGTTTAATAAATGTATGAAAGAGGGGAAGGTACCTAGGGATTGGTGGAGAGCATGTATAGTCCCTTTATAATTTTATATAAAGGGAAAGGGGACAAAAGAGACTAAAAATTATAGAGGAATAAGTTTACTGAGTATACCAGGAAAAGTGTACGGTAGGGTTATAATTGAAAGAATTAGAGGTAAGACAGAATGTAGGATTGCGGATGAGCAAGGAGGTTTTAGAGTGGGTAGGGGATGTGTAGATCAGGTGTTTACATTGAAGCATATATGTGAACAGTATTTAGATAAAGATAGGGAAGTTTTTATTGCATTTATGGATTTAGAAAAGGCTTATGATAGAGTGGATAGAGGAGCAATGTGGCAGATGTTGCAAGTACATGTATATGGAATAGGTGGTAAGTTATTAAATGCTGTAAAGAGTTTTTATAAGGATAGTGAGGCTCAGGTTAGGGTGTGTAGAAGAGAGGGAGACTACTTCCCGGTAAAAATAGGTCTTAGACAGGGATGTGTAATGTCACCATGGTTGTTTAATATATTTATAGATGAGGTTGTAAAGGAAGTAAATGCTAGGGTGTTCGGGAGAGGGGTGGGATTAAATTTTGGGGAATCAAATTCAAAATGGGAATTGACACAGTTACTTTTTGCTGATGATACTGTGCTTATGGGAGATTCTAAAGAAAAATTGCAAAGGTTAGTGGATGAGTTTGGGAATGTGTATAAAGGTAGAAAGTTGAAAGTGAACATAGAAAAGAGTAAGGTGATGAGGGTATCAAATGATTTAGATAAAGAAAAATTGGATATCAAATTGGGGAGGAGTAGTATGGAAGAAGTGAATGTTTTCAGATACTTGGGAGTTGACGTGTCGGCGAATGGATTTATGAAAGAAAGAGGTTAATCATAGAATTGATGAGGGAAAAAAGGCGAGTGGTGCGTTGAGGTATATGTGGAGTCAAAAAACGTTATTTATGGAGGCAAAGAAGGGAATGTATGAAAGTATAGTAGTACTAACACTATTATATGGGTGTGAAGCTTGGGTGGTAAATGCAGCAGCGAGGAGACGGTTGGAGGCAGTGGAGATGTCCTGTTTAAGGGCAATGTGTGGTGTAAATATTATGCAGAAAATTCAGAGTGTGGAAATTAGGAAAAGGTGTGGAGTTAATAAAAGTATTAGTCAGAGGGCAGAAGAGGGGTTGTTGAGGTGGTTTGGTCATTTAGAGAGAATGGATCAAAGTAGAATGACATGGAAAGCATATAAATCTATAGGGGAAGGAAGGCGGGGTAGGGGTCGTCCTTGAAAGGGTTGGAGAGAGGGGGTAAAGGAGGTTTTGTGGGCAAGGGGCTTGGACTTCCAGCAAGCGTGCATGAGCGTGTTAAATAGGAGTGAATGGAGACGAATGATACTTGGGACCTGACGATCTGTTGGAGTGTGAGCAGGGTAATATTTAGTGAAGGGATTCAGGGAAACCGGTTATTTTCATATAGTCGGACTTGAGTCCTGGAAATGGGAAGTACAATGCCTGCACTTTAAAGGAGGGTTTCCCTGAATCCCTTCACTAAATATTACCCTGATCACACTCCAACAGAACGTAGAATGTAATTATAAGAAAATGCTAGCTAGCCCCAGATGAATTTAGTCACTAGATGCCCCTGAAAAATACTTTTAAATGCGTGTTCTCCTTTTAAGATTCTTATTAGCGTGGATTAGCAAGGATGTTGCAATATGGAGTCTTATAAAGTGTGACATTTGCACACTTCTGGCAAAATGACAACTGAAAGTGATGTCTGATTCCTCCTCTGGGTCACCCTACCTTGGCAGGAGATGGGAAATCTAGTACAAAGATATAAAGTAAAGAATTTAAATATTACCTTGGGCGAGTCCAACCTGCTGGCTGTAGGCATTTGTCTGGTCATTCTACACACTGCTCCCCTTGTTCCTCTACTTATCTTGCCTCTCCTCCCTGTACCAGTTTTCCTGGGACTCTCTGAGGTTTTGCCCTGTGGACAAAGCACCCTGTCTAAAATCTTTCTTAAACAAAATTACAGCTTTCACAAAGATATTTCACAAGACATTTTCACACAGTACATTTTACTGAATGTCCCTATGCACTGTGTGGCCAGATACAAGATGGGTACACTGTTAACTGCACTATAACAGAAAATTTTTTCTTAATGCAAAAAATTATAAATACAGAATGAAAACAGACATGTGCAACATCTGGGTATCTTTATTGTAGAGGTTTCACCATCCAGTGGCTATCAATACAGATTCTAGGCCAGTAGAACTATATACAGTGGACCCCCGGTTTACGATATTATTTCATTCCAGAAGTATGTTCAGGTGCCAGTACTGACCGAATTTGTTCCCATAGTTTATTAGATTAAGTATTGGTGGATAAAATGTTGAAGGGTAGGCTCCAGGATGTACATGTTTATAGAGGGGCAACTGAGATATCGGATCATTATTTAGTTGTAGCTACAGTTAGAGTAAGAGGTAGATGGGAAAAGAGGAAGGTGGCAACAACAAGTAAGAGGGAGGTGAAAGTGTATAAACTAAGGGAGGAGGAAGTTCAGGAGAGATATAAGCGACTATTGGCAGAAAAGTGGGCTAGTGCAAGTACGAGTAATGGGGGGGTTGAAGAGGGTCGGAATAGTTTTAAAAATGCAGTATTAGAATGTGGGGCAGAAGTTTGTGGTTATAGGAGGGTGAGTGCAGGAGGAAAGAGGAATGATTGGTGGAATGATGAAGTAAAGGGTGTGATAAAAGAGAAAAAGGTAGCTTATGAGAGGTTTTTACAAAGCAAAAGTGTTATAAGAAGAGCAGAGTATATGGAGAGTAAAAGAAAGGTAAAGAGAGTGGTGAGAGAGTCCAAAAGGAGAGCAGATGATAGAGTGGGAGAGGCACTGTCAAGAAATTTTAATGAAAATAAGAAAAAATTTTGGAGTGAGTTAAACAAGTTAAGAAAGCCTAAGGAAAGTATGGATTTGTCAGTTAAAAACAGAGTAGGGGAGTTAGTAGATGGGGAGATGGAGGTATTAGGTAGATGGCGAGAATATTTTGAGGAACTTTTAAATGTTAAGGAAGAAGGAGAGGCAGTAATTTCATGCACTGGTCAGGGAGGTATACCATCATTTAGGAGTGAAGAAGAGCAGAATGTAAGTGTGGAAGAGGTACGCGAGGCATTACGTAGAATGAAAAAGGGTAAAGCAGTTGGAACTGATGGGATCATGACAGAAATGTTAAAACCAGAGGGGGGGGATATAGTGTTGGAGTGGTTGGCGCTTTTGTTTAATAAATGTATGAAAGAGGGGAAGGTACCTAGGGATTGGCAGAGAGCATGTATAGTCCCTTTATATAAAGGGAAAGGGGACAAAAGAGATTGTAAAAATTATAGAGGAATAAGTTTATTGGGTATACCAGGAAAAGTGTACAGTAGGGTTATAATTGAAAGAATTAGAGGTAAGACAGAATGTAGGATTGCAGATGAGCAAGGAGGTTTCAGAGTGGGTAGGGGATGTGTAGATCAAGTGTTTACATTGAAGCATATATGAATATGATAGAGTGGATAGAGGAGCAATGTGGCAGATGTTGCAAGTATATGGAATAGGTGGTAAGTTATTAATGCTGTAAAGAGTTTTTATGAGGATAGTGAGGCTCAGGTTAGGGTGTGTAGAAGAGAGGGAGAATACTTCCCGGCAAAAATAGGTCTTAGACAGGGATGTGTAATGTCACCATGGTTGTTTAATATATTTATAGATGGGGTTGTAAACGAAGTAAATGCTAGGGTGTTCGGGAGAGGGGTGGGATTAAATTTTGGGGAATCAAATTCAAAATGGGAATTGACACAGTTACTTTTTGCTGATGATACTGTGCTTATGGGAGATTCTAAAGAAAAATTGCAAAGGTTAGTGGATGAGTTTGGGAATGTGTGTAAAGGTAGAAAGTTGAAAGTGAACATAGTAAAGAGTAAGGTGATGAGGGTATCAAATGATTTAGATAAAGAAAAATTGGATATCAAATTGGGGAGGAGGAGTATGGAAGAAGTGAATGTTTTCAGATACTTGGAAATTGACGTGTCGGCGGATGGATTTATGAAGGATGGGGTTAATCATAGAATTGATGAGGTAAAAAAGGCGAGTGGTGCGTTGAGGTATATGTGGAGTCAAAAAACCTTATCTATGGAGGCAAAGAAGGGAATGTATGAAAGTATAGTAGTACCAACACTCTTATATGGGTGTGAAGCTTGGGTGGTATATGCAGCAGCGAGGAGACGGTTGGAGGCAGTGGAGATGTCCTGTTTAAGGGCAATGTGTGGTGTAAATATTATGCAGAAAATTCGGAGTGTGGAAATTAGGAAAAGGTGTGGAGTTAATAAAAGTATTAGTCAGAGGGCAGAAGAGGGGTTGTTGAGGTGGTTTGGTCATTTAGAGAGAATGGATCAAAGTAGAATGACATGGAAAGCATATAAATCTATAGGGAAAGGAAGGCGGGGTAGGGGTCATCCTCGAAAGGGTTGGAGAGAGGGGGTAAAGGAGGTTTTGTGGGCAAGGGGCTTGGACTTCCAGCAAGCGTGCATGAGCGTGTTAGATAGGAGTGAATAGAGACGAATGGTACTTGGGACCTGACGATCTGTTGGAGTGTGAACAGGGTAATATTTAGTGAAGGGATTCAGGGAAACCGGTTTTCATATAGTCAGACTTTAGTCCTGGAAATGGGAAGTACAATGCCTGCACTTTAAAGGAGGGGTTTGGGATATTGCAGTTTGGAGGGATATGTTGTGTATCTTTATATGTGTATGCTTCTAAACTGTTGTATTCTGAGCACCTCTGCAAAAACAGTGATAATGTGCAAGTGTGGTGAAAGTGTTGAATGATGATGAAAGTACTTTCTTTTTGGTGATTTTCTTTCTTTTTTGGGTCACCCTGCCTCGGTGGGAGACGGCCGACTTGTTGAAAAAAATATATATATATATATACACACAAGACATGAAGTAATCAGTCTCAGCCTTGGAGTTTATGTGAAGAGCACTGTAGTCGTGAAGATTCTGGGGCAGACTACGGTGCTCTTCACACCAACTCCAAAGCTGAGGGACTTGTTACCTCATCTTTTGTATATAGTTATATTGTCCTCAAATTATGCCCTAGAATCTGTATTGATAAAGCCACTGGATGGCAAAACGTCTACAATAAAGATACTCAGACATTGCACACGTGTCTGAGTTTTCATTTTGTCGGTACTTTATACCATTCTTGTACAAAAATACAGAATAAATAACTGGCCACTCACTATAATAAGGACTGTTAGGCCTTTGTGGCTGCTTTAGGCATAACTAAAATTTTATATTTTCAAGCACAGACTCACATTTCATTTGACAGCAGTGTGTTTTTAATTTATTGCTATTGAAATTAATTTCCCAAGCTGACAAATTGTGGAACACGTTTAATTTTTAATGCAATAAAGTTTTAAAAAGAGGCAGCTCAGCCATTAAAACACTTTTGCTCAGGGATTTCCATGGCCTGGGGAAATTTAAATGTTAATTGTAGGAAGCACTACACCCATAGGGATCATACAGAACCTGGGCAGCAATCAGGTTTGATCCAAGGAAGGGAAGCCTAAGTCCAGTTCCTTGAATCAAGAGCCATCAACAAAGCTATTCTCACCATATAAGTGTCCATCCTCAGGGGGATACCATAATGAAAAAAAATTGCCAACTTACTTGTGATTCTGATACATCTGCTTCAGGGACAGAGGCTCTTTTCCTACACCTCGTTCTTTGTGATGTAATAGGTGAACTGCTTTCTTTTTCTTCATTAGTAAGATCTATCAAGCAATCAGAATCTTCATTCACTTTTGCTCTGAATGAAGACTCACCACCCTCCATGGCATTTCCCAATGTATCTTCCTCATTTTCAAACAGATTTTCTTCTTCTTCTTCTTCTTCAATATTTGATGATTGCTCTCCAATCACAGTCATGTCCACAACACGTTCTTCACGAGCTAAGAGTAGTTCAACATAAAAATATAATTTTGCTGGTTTCTTTCATTATTCTAGCAATACAAAACAATGACTATAAATTGTACAAGTTATATGACGATGTAGGCCTATTTTACAGTTACCTTGGGTGCGTTCTTGGATCTTTTTACTCCACATAATATTTAACTTGGGAATGGCAACCATTGCTGGCTGAAGTACATGGCCACTGACCATTGGAAGAACTACACTCTGCCGTGGCGATACATTATTACTACTGGGACCCAGAGGCAATCTTGAACCTGCCAAGAAGAAAGATATACTAAGCTTGGAGGGATATGTTGTGTATCTTGATACGTATATATGCTTCTAAACTCTCGTGTTCTGAGCACCTCTGCTAAAACTGATTATGTGTGAGTGAGGTGAAAGTGTTGAATGATGAAAGTATTTTCTTTTTGGAGATTTTCTTTCTTTTTGGGTCACCCTGCCTTGGTGGGAGACAGCCAACTTGCTAAAAAAAAAAAAAAAAAAAAAAAAAAAAAAAAAAAAAAAAAAAAAAAAAAAAAAAAAAAAAAAAAAAAAAAATTTAATTTGCTAAAGAAAATTACTATACAGCATTTATATTTTTTTTTCTATTCTATAATCTATGCAAACAAGAAAGCAACAAGCATGGGTGGAAATCCAAGCTGCCCTTAGATATACCTTTCTTTTCACGAGTTTCGAGAATTTTTCTACAACCAGAGCCTGGCCATTGGCCAGGTTCATCTGGTGCTTACCTGGTCAACCAGACTGTTGCTGCTGGCAGTCCATTAGCCCACATCCATCACAACCTGGTTGATCTGGCCCCTGGTGAAGATACTTCTCCAGTTTAATCTTTAAGATTTCTATACTTGTCCAGTTTAATCTTTATCTTCTACACTTGTCCCAGCAGGGTTTCTGATATATCTGAAAGATATTCAGTAATCTAGGGCCATGGATTTTGGTACAATGTTCTCTTATTGTGTCCACAATCCTCAAGCTTTCCACTGGATTCATTTTGTACTTCCTTCTGTATCTCTCACTAATATGCTGTTATGGCAGTGTGCAGATTTGGGACAAGGCCCTCAAGTACTTTCCAGGCATATCTTATGTATTTCTCTTACCTCTGCTCCAGCAAGTACATATTTAGGACAAAGGCATTCCCAGCAATTTAAATGCTGTATTGGTTCTATTGGGCAGGAATGATCACCGTATTTGTTCCAGCTCCAATATCTCTCCAGCCCTGATTTGGACAGGCAACACTGAAAAATATTCCAAACGAGAGAGCGCAAGTGATTTGAAAAGTGTCACCATTAGCATTATTTTCCTGTTTTGAAAGTTCTCATTATCCATCCCATCATCTTCCTGGCTGTCATGACATTTGTCTTATTGTGTTCTATGAAAAGTTAACCAACATAATTACTCCCATGTTTTTCACATATTCCTGTCATTCTGTTTGAGGACCCTCTTGAGTTTTGTATCCAGTGTCCCTTTTAAGTTCATTCTTTCCATATCTAAGCACTAGAACTTATCACCATTCAATATAATGTTGTTCTCCACTGCCCACTAGAAAACCCTGCAGTTTTTCAGCCTCTTCTACTGAGGTGACTTTCATGACCTGATGTCAAAAGAAAAAACTTGCAACAGGTAGCTCAGCCCATCAAGAATTTTGAAAGACGAATTACAAGATGTAGGAAAAAAAAAATGCAAAGATCTAGCAGTCCTGCCCACCCAAGGTAGAGGCAAACACAGGAGACAGATTCCAATCTGAGCCATGGCAAGGGTAAAGCATATATTAAGCCTGAAGTCCAGCATGGAGCACATCATCTCACTGCAGGAAAAAAAACAAAAAAAAACGTTATTTCAAACTGCAGACAGCCTTAAGGAGCAAGGCATCAGACCACAAGCCCACTTTATGTGCACCAGGTTTGTAGAACAATGAAACCAAGTGCATGTGTGCTATATCCAGAGAAGGGGCATGACCATATCCAACAAAAACTGTGAGAAGAGCCAGATCTTATCCCGAGAATGTAAAGCAAGAGCTTTGCCCCAGGTACACTCGTGCCATTCAATGGACAGCAAACAGGCCTTCCAAGACACATTGGGAATGCTGCCTGAAAGTACTTATGGATAGCAAACTCAAATGTTGGAAGTGTGTGGGCATGATGACATTTTCAACCAATGAAATTTAAACAAAATATTAATGAAATTAAATTTTAGGGGTACAAAACTGAAAATACAAATTTCTAAATTCTTCCCAAAAACAAAAACAGCATATGAATCCTTAAGAATACGAGTACATGTACATTAATAATTGTGTTCAACTGTAATACTGTTGGACTGTCTTGAGTAGCCTATATCACCTCAGAACAAAAAAGATCCATTCAGGAAAGCAACCAAAAAGAGTGCAATAACACTACGTAAATACTTCATAAGTAAAGCCCATGATAGAATATACAGTAAGTAAACCAACCTGAAGGGCGAGGAAGTGAATTGGAAGAATTGGCTGAGGAACGATTCCGGCAGCTGTTTAAGACTCCTCCAGCTAATTTCTTGGCTTTGGTTAGACCCTCCACTACCATTACTACATTTTCCATAGTAGTAGTGATAGCTGAATTTATGGATTCACAGTGTTCCTGAGAATAAAAAAAAAAAGTAAAGATTATAAAAAATTTATAATTTATCGTACTTGTAAAGTCTACCGTTATAACCAAGATGCTCAAGTAAAACTCTTTACAATCAAAGATGTATTAAGGGTTATTTAATTTATAATAGGTAAAATCACAAGACAAGACTAAAGAAAATGAAAACTCCACAGGTAAAAAGCCTCTACACAAACTTAAGACAAAATTTTAAATTTCAATTAGGACATTATGGAGCAGAAATATATTAAAGGCTTTTACTTTATAACAATCAATTTTTATGGCTAAATTAACTAACTCACCCTAAGCCTTTTCTCCACCTGGAACTCGACTGCCTTCTCAAAGTCTTTATCAGTGGCTCTGAGCAGTTGCTCCTGACACTCCTGTAAGTCCCCTTTTAGTGATATTAATTCTGCATACCTATATAAAAAAGAAAAATAACACTAAAGGTAATATACATTATCAATATTCTTAAGGATAGTAATCCTAAATGATTAGCTTATTGTGGTATTAAAAACTGCATGAAAATCAAAGCAAAGAGCTCAACACTACATCTACATGCTTTTGATTAAAACTCATCTTGCATTAGCAAGTGAACTACAAAGCCTTTTGAAATATTTTAAAACTAGATATACAGTGGACCCCCGCTTAACGATAACCTCCCAATGCGACCAATTATGTAAGTGTATTTATGTAAGTGCGTTTGTACGTATATGTTTGGGGGTCTGAAATGGACTAATCTACTTCACAATATTCCTTATGGGAACAAATTCGGTCAGTACTGGCACCTGAACATACTTCTGGAATGAAAAAATATCGTTAACCGGGGGTCCACTGTACAGTGGACCCCCTCATAACGATCACCTCCGAATGCGACCAATTATGTAAGTGTATTTATGTAAGTGCGTTTGTACGTGTATGTTTGGGGGTCTGAAATGGACTAATCTACTTCACAATATTCCTTATGGGAACAAATTCGGTCGGTACTGGCACCTGAACATACTTCTGGAGTGAAAAAATATCGTTAACCGGGGGTCCACTGTATTTGGTTTGCTGTCTGATCGAGCAAGGCATCCTTAGCCTCTGCCCACTATCCTAACTTATCTTATGAAAGATATGGCATTATGAATAAACCATTCAGATAAAATTGTTTCCCCTACCATTCCCTCTTATGTCTTCCAATTTCCATAGTGAAGAAGTGAATCAACATTAGAGTGAGTGTGTGGTGTAGAAGTGGGAACAAGTTTCAGGAGTGAAAATGATACGGAGAGGAGTGGAGGAGTTCTAAATATGGCAATCAGCTAAAAGCATACTGAGGTGAACTGTAGGGGTGTAGGAGTTGTAAGGTTGTAGGAGCGAGATGTAGGGAGTGTGGGAGTTGTAGGAGAGGGGGGAGTTGTAGGGGGCATCGGAGTTGTATTAGGTAGTGACATTAGCATAATACTATAATCTAACAGAAGAAAACCTGTTTTATATGAAAGACTCTTTGAATCAATATTGTAACAGAAGCTGTACAAATTACCTCAAATCACTTTTTTGTTCAGTCTACCCCATTCTGCCTTTTGCTTTCCTTCATTTCAACATCACTGTGCACAATCACTGGGATAACATCTCCATAACCAAGGAAGATTTTAATAAAATTGCCCATTAAAAGTCAAAAGCATAAATGATGGCAACATCACAAGCAGCTTCCAGTAATATTACCATAAAAACAAATATTTCCTTCTGGTCGTGGGAGTCATCACAGCTCAACTATTAACTTCAAGGACAAGACAGATTTGGATAAAGATTTCTCTTCCAACTCCTCCTGAAGAAAATTTTGGCAAATAGGCAAACAGCACTCTCATTTCAGCTAAAAAAAAAAAAAAATATATTCATCATGCTTTACCCCTGACCAGTTTTGAGGCTTTTCTACTCCCCACAGCATGGCTTGAAGCCAGGCTTCCTGCTTTGACCCAAATTCAGGTAGGCTGGAAAGAGGGAATAATGCACATATATATACAGTGGACCCCCGCATAACGATCACCTCCGAATGCGACCAATTATGTAAGTGTATTTATGTAAGTGCGTTTGTACGTTTATGTTTGGGGGTCTGAAATGGACTAATCTACTTCACAATATTCCTTATGGGAACAAATTCGGTCAGTACTGGCACCTGAACATACTTCTGGATTGAAAAAATATCGTTAACCGGGGGTCCACTGTATATAGTAAACCCTTGATTTGATACGTGAATACGGAAAGGGGAGTAGTGGAGAAGTGATTGTGGTGGATAGATGCAAGATTGTTTTTTAACACCAGCCGTATCCCACCCAGGCAGGGTGACCTAAAAAGAAAAATGCAAGTTTTTCTTTTGAAATTTAGTACGTAATTTATACAGGAGACAGGGTTACTAGCTCCTGGCATTTCAATCACCTCAAACAACATGCATGCCTTATGGAAGAGGAGACAAGATTCTTTTGTCATAATCATAATGGAGAGTTCTGCATCCAACGGATTTTTTCCGTTGTTACTGAATCGCTTGATCTAGTCTGTTTTGTCTCCTATTTCTGAAATACATTAAATCATGGTCCATTAAATGGACAGTATTGTACTTTTTTAAAATTTATTAAATATGCTTAAACAGTTTCTATCAGCACTGTGAATGTACAATAGAGCCTTGCTGTATGGCATTTCACTAATACAAACATTTCAAATTATGACCAAAACTCGTTATGCAGCTCACCCCCCTCCATCCGACTTGCTAATATGATCCCTACGCACCGCTCTGTTTATATCTTCCGCGAGTAAGCTTATTCAGGTATACACAAATACACGTACACTTATAGATTATCATACATAGCAGCATGTGTGTGTAGAGAACATGGGATAACTCAAAAAAGTCAAAGCGACTTATTTCCATTGGGGTCCTTTGAGCTCTGCATGTCTCCATTATGTCTGGAAAATTTCCAAAATTTCAGGAGTTTTAAAGTTACTGCATATTATTTTTTTTTTTTATTATCACACCGGCCGATTCCCACCAAGGCAGGGTGGCCCGAAAAAGAAAAACTTTCACCATCATTCACTCTATCACTGTCTTGCCAGAAGGGTGCTTTACACTACAGTTTTTAAACTGCAACATTAACACCCCTCCTTCAGAGTGCAGGCACTGTACTTCCCATCTCCAGGACTCAAGTCCGGCCTGCCGGTTTCCCTGAATCCCTTCATAAATGTTACTTTGCTCACACTCCAACAGCACGTCAAGTATTAAAAACCATTTGTCTCCATTCACTCCTATCAAACACGCTCACGCATGCCTGCTGGAAGTCCAAGCCCCTCGCACACAAAACCTCCTTTACCCCCTCCCTCCAACCCTTCCTAGGCCGACCCCTACCCCGCCTTCCTTCCACTACAGACTGATACACTCTTGAAGTCATTCTGTTTCGCTCCATTCTCTCTACATGTCCGAACCACCTCAACAACCCTTCCTCAGCCCTCTGGACAACAGTTTTGGTAATCCCGCACCTCCTCCTAACTTCCAAACTACGAATTCTCTGCATTATATTCCACACCACACATTGCCCTCAGACATGACATCTCCACTGCCTCCAGCCTTCTCCTCGCTGCACATTCATCACCCACGCTTCACACCCATATAAGAGCGTTGGTAAAACTATACTCTCATACATTCCCCTCTTTGCCTCCAAGGACAAAGTTCTTTGTCTCCACAGACTCCTAAGTGCACCACTCACTCTTTTTCCCTCATCAATTCTATGATTCACCTCATCTTTCATAGACCCATCTGCTGACACGTCCACTCCCAAATATCTGAATACGTTCACCTCCTCCATACTCTCTCCCTCCAATCTGATATTCAATCTTTCATCACCTAATCTTTTTGTTATCCTCATAACCTTACTCTTTCCTGTATTCACCTTTAATTTTCTTCTTTTGCACACCCTACCAAATTCATCCACCAATCTCTGCAACTTCTCTTCAGAATCTCCAAGAGCACAGTGTCATCAGCAAAGAGCAGCTGTGACAACTCCCACTTTGTGTGTGATTCTTTATCTTTTAACTCCACGCCTCTTGCCAAGACCCTCGCATTTACTTCTCTTACAACCCCATCTATAAATATATTAAAACAACCACGGTGACATCACACATCCTTGTCTAAGGCCTACTTTTACTGGGAAAAAAATTTCCCTCTTTCCTACATACTCTAACTTGAGCCTCACTATCCTCGTAAAAACTCTTCACTGCTTTCAGTAACCTACCTCCTACACCATACACTTGCAACATCTGCCACATTGCCCCCCTATCCACCCTGTCATACGCCTTTTCCAAATCCATAAATGCCACAAAGACCTCTTTAGCCTTATCTAAATACTGTTCACTTATATGTTTCACTGTAAACACCTGGTCCACACACCCCCTACCTTTCCTAAAGCCTCCTTGTTCATCTGCTATCCTATTCTCCGTCTTACTCTTAATTCTTTCAATTATAACTCTACCATACACTTTACCAGGTACACTCAACAGACTTATCCCCTATAATTTTTGCACTCTCTTTTATCCCCTTTGCCTTTATACAAAGGAACTATGCATGCTCTCTGCCAATCCCTAGGTACCTTACCTTCTTCCATACATTTATTAAATAATTGCACCAACCACTCCAAAACTATATCCCCACCTGCTTTTAACATTTCTATCTTTATCCCATCAATCCCGGCTGCCTTACCCCCTTTCATTTTACCTACTGCCTCACGAACTTCCCCCACACTCACAACTGGCTCTTCCTCACTCCTACAAGATGTTATTCCTCCTTGCCCTATACACGAAATCACAGCTTCCCTATCTTCATCAACATTTAACAATTCCTCAAAATATTCCTTCCATCTTCCCAATACCTCTAACTCTCCATTTAATAACTCTCCTCTCCTATTTTTAACTGACAAATCCATTTGTTCTCTAGGCTTTCTTAACTTGTTAATCTCACTCCAAAACTTTTTCTTATTTTCAACAAAATTTGTTGATAACATCTCACCCACTCTCTCATTTGCTCTCTTTTTACATTGCTTCACCACTCTCTTAACTTCTCTCTTTTTCTCCATATACTCTTCCCTCCTTGCATCACTTCTACTTTGTAAAAACTTCTCATATGCTAACTTTTTCTCCCTTACTACTCTCTTTACATCATCATTCCACCAATCGCTCCTCTTCCCTCCTGCACCCACTTTCCTGTAACCACAAACTTCTGCTGAACACTCTAACACTACATTTTTAAACCTACCCCATACCTCTTCGACCCCATTGCCTATGCTCTCATTAGCCCATCTATCCTCCAATAGCTGTTTATATCTTACCCTAACTGCCTCCTCTTTTAGTTTATAAACCTTCACCTCTCTCTTCCTGTGCTTCTATTCTCCTTGTATCCCATCTACCTTTTACTCTCAGTGTAGCTACAACTAGAAAGTGATCTGATATATCTGTGGCCCCTCTATAAACATGTACATCCTGAAGTCTACTCAACAGTCTTTTATCTACCAATACATAATCCAACAAACTACTGTCATTTCGCCCTACATCATATCGTGTATACTTATTTATCCTCTTTTTCTTAAAATATGTATTACCTATAACTAAACCCCTTTCTATACAAAGTTCAATCAAAGGGCTCCCATTATCATTTACACCTGGCACCCCAAACTTACCTACCACACCCTCTCTAAAAGTTTCTCCTACTTTAGCATTCAAGTCCCCTACCACAATTACTCTCTCACTTGGTTCAAAGGCTCCTATACATTCACTTAACATCTCCCAAAATCTCTCTCTCTCCTCTGCATTCCTCTCTTCTCCAGGTGCATACACGCTTATTATGACCCACTTCTCGCATCCAACCTTTACTTTAATCCACATAATTCTTGAATTTACACATTCATATTCTCTTTTCTCCTTCCATAACTGATCATTTAACATTACTGCTACCCTTCCTTTGCTCTAACTCTCTCAGATACTCCAGATTTAATCCCATTTATTTCCCCCCACTGAAACTCTCCTACCCCCTTCAGCTTTGTTTCGCTTAGGGCCAGGACATCCAACTTCTTTTCATTCATAACATCAGCAATCATCTGTTTCTTGTCATCCGCACTACATCCACGCACATTTAAGCAACCCAGTTTTATAAAGTTTTTCTTCTTCTCTTTTTTAGAAATTGTATACAGGAGAAGGGGTTACTAGCCCATTGCTCCCGGCATTTTAGTCGCCTCATACGACACGCATGGCTTACGGAGGAAAGATTCTTTTCCACTTCCCCATGGACAATAGAAGAAATAAAAAAGAACAAGAGCTATTTAGAAAAAGGAGAAAAACCTAGATGTATGTATATATATATATGCATGTGCGTGTCTGTGAAGTGTGACCAAAGTGTAAGTAGGAGTAGCAAGATATCCCTGTTATCTTAGCGTGTTTATGAGACAGAAAAAGAAACCAGCAATCCTACCATCATGCAAAACAGTTACAGGTTTTTGTTTCACAGTCATCTGGCAGGACGGTAGTACTTCCCTGGGTGGTTGCTGTCTACCAACCTACTACCTATACTGCATATTATATATACATATATTACACACACACACACCTAATAATTATACTTGCGTACCTGTACCTAAGTAAACTTACACACTGTACTGGCATGCAGGTACAGTGGAACCCCCATTTTCATCCGGTCCAGTTATCGTACAATTCAGTTTTCAGCCACTTTTTTCGGCGAAATTTTAACCAGTTTTAATACATCCTCTCAAAAAATCGTCCATACTAGACGCATCCACCTGCACATGGGATGTGGCTGCTCACAAGTTCGTGACTCAGTCTGCCTTTGTTACTCATACAGGGTGGTAGTGATGGTGGTAGTAGTTGTGATGGTGGTAGAGGTAACCTCTCCTCCCTCTCCCCTCCTCGCCGTCTTCCATACGCCAACAAGTCTTTTCAATAAAGGTAAATTATTTAAATGTTCATTTATCCATTTCATTAGTGCTTTATATTCATTTCTCATTGTTTTCAATATGTTATTCTCTATAAAATGTATTTGTTAATATTTTTGGGTGTCTGGAACAGATTAATTGGATTTACATTATTTCTTGTGGGAAATATTACTTCAGTTTTCATACAAATCAGTTTTTGGCAGACCTTCTGGAATAGATTAACCCCTTGACTGTTGCAACCCCAAATCCTGAGGTGTCAACTGGTGTCGCAAAATTTGAAATGATAAAGAATCTTTTCCAGATTGTAATGACACCAAAAGAACGAAATCTGATGGAAAACTGACGGAACTACGCTCTCACGAAGTTAGCGACCTCAGCAATATTTACGAATTAGCGATTTCGCCCACTGAGCCCTATTTTCAGCTAATTCCATTGTTCCAGTCAACTAAACTTGGCTATTTTTTTAGAACTCCACTTTTTCTATCGATTGAGTACAAGAAACTGCTCATTTACAAATGTCAACTATCCGATAGTGGTCAGAAATTGGCAATTTGGCCAATTTCAAGCAAATTAAAAAGATGCCAATTTCAAAACAGGGTCCAGTATGAACAAAGCAGACATTTCTGGCACTAAAATATCATTTTCTCTATTCATCAGTCATGCCTCCAGGCTCCTCTTATAACACTCTTGCTTTCTATTTTGAATTCTTATTCACACAAAAAATAAACGATTTACTGTTATGCAGACTACTACATTATTGTAATAATTGTATAAATGATATCAACCTATTCATGACTGCGTATTAGAATGGCTAGTTGTACACTTATTGGACAATGACGTCATTTGTTTACTCTAACATCGGCAAAAAATCAAACATTTCCACTACCTTGAGCTCAATTTCAAGGTCCTTTTCATTGTGAAACCAATCAAAATCATCTCTATTTCAGTAATATGTCTTCCAATCTATCAAATGAGCAAGAAAACGAGAATACATCCATAAATACTATATGGAAGCACACCTCAAATTCGGCGTTTTAATCCAAAAACACGGACGGAGGTTTACTTTTCTCATTATGCACTGCGTGCTGCAGGATTTTTTTTTTTTTTTTTTTTTTTTTTTAATACTGAGCACACTTACCACAGACCCATTCTCTCACACATGGGCCTACCGGCTTTCTCCCGCTTGATTTGAAGCCGCTATAATTTTGGAGTACAGTGGACCCCCGACTAACGATATTATTTCAATCCAGAAGTCTGTTCAGGTGCCGTTATAGACCGAATTTGTTCCCATAAGGAATATTGTGAATTAGATTAGTCCGTTTCAGACCCCCAAAAATACACCTACGAAAGCACTTAAAAAATACACTTATATAATTGGTGGAGTTGGGAGCTGATCGTCAGTCAGGGATCCACCGTATTTATGTCAAAAACACTGGCTCATAAGACGTATACATACAACTTAAACAATCAGGGTTAAGTGTTGTATATTTCATTGATATAGACATTCATGAATCCATCTATATTTTTTCAAAATTATATAAGAAACATGTTACATAAACAAAATACCGTACATTCACCCACAGTAGAAAAAAAATTGACGAATATGAGATGTGGTAGCCAGGTAGCTTGTCAGTGATGGCAAGAATTACATTTTCTCTAGTCCAACACCAGAGAATGTGTACACAACAGTATTACTGAGGGCAACTAGAAAAATTATTCCTTTTGTATGCCTTCACTTGTAGCTTCATTTATGAGAATGGGTGGGGTGGGGGGGGATGTTGCTGTTTATGTATTTTACTGCACCAACATGAAGACAACTTGTACACAAGGTAAAATTTTTGCATTGTGGTAAAAGTTTCACATATGTATGTAGGAATGAACTTGCACAAACCAAAATTGGACAGATATTAATACACGTTCGTCTGCTTACATTCTCAGCATCTCATTGTCTCTTGTTTACAACAGCATCTAAGTTTAGTTATTCGAATTGATTAAACTCGGTGAACATGGTACATCAATGGTGGTAATAATAATCATGACTGCTCTGGGGCTCTTTAAATTTAAGTCATGTATTTCATGTAGGTGTGGGAGCTACCACACCTAACTACAATACTCACCTTTCATCCTACGTTAAGACTACACACATTTTAAAGGTAAATAATGAGTATACTATACGTGTGTTTTACCCTTTTTTTTTTTTAATGCCAAGTTCTATCACTAACATAATATATGTTAGTGTAAATTTGTTGTTTGGTATTTGTAAGTGAAAAAAAAAAAGGGGGGGGGGTGCTCCGCTTTACAGCGATTTCCACCTTTTGGTGGTAGCCTGGAACCTAACCTGCCGTATAAGTGAAGCCCTACTGTATGCTAGAACCAGGTCTTAAAATTTAAATCTCCAAATTTTCAATATTTGTTCAGACTATGAAACTGGGCTCCCAACCACTAAATCAATGTATGTAAAACAAAACTCATTTCCAACCAACCAGTGTTGCGTCTCCTTTTTTTGCTCAGAAAGGGCTTTGGCAAGTGCCTGATTGTTTGTCTTCAGTTTTTGCAGTTTCAGTTCATATACTGCAGCCATGTCAAATCCTGGTAAAGAAAAAATAATCACTAAACTACAAAATATACTGAAAAATTAATATAACAAACTAAAAAAAATTAGTCAATATAACATCCAAACACTAAGTGGGAAAAAAATACTTCAGTGCAGGTAGTGTTCTAGCACCATGTATATAAATAATATATACAGCATGTATACACACACACACACACACACAGTCAAGCACATGCACGCACACACTGTTTAATTAGCTTCATGTTTTATTTTTAAGCTGGCCCAAAATACTTTGCATAACCAGAGGGTTTCCAAATGCTATCCACTCTTGTAAAAACTACAGTACATGCCTCGTGGAAATAAATTTCACTAAACCATATTTTTTAACACACTGTCTTCCACGAAGACAGGGTGGCCCCAAAAAGAAGAAACGCTTATCACTTGCTCCACTGTCTTGCCAGAGGCATGCCAATACTACTGCTCAGATGCCCCTCCAAACTGCAATATCCCCACCCCTCCTTCAAAGTGCAGGTACTGTACTTCCCACCTCTAGGACTAGTCTGGCTAGCTGGCTTTCCTGATTTCCTTCATAAATGTTACTTTTCTCACGTTACAATAGTACGTCATCATAAAAACTACTTGAATTCACTCGCTCCCGTTCTTCATGCTCACATACACCTGTTGAATGTCCAACCCTGTCACATACAAATCCCTTACCCCCCCTCGTTCCAACCTTTACTAAGATAACCCTTACCCTGCCTTCCCTCCACTACAGATTTATACACCCTTCAAGTCATCCTATTCTGCCTTTATTTACTATCCTGAACTCATTTTGAGGTCTTCATTCTTTCCCTATTTAGAGAGAAAATTTGTTACTACTGAATCTCATTTTAAAGGAGCTAATCAGGTTTGATATGAGCATAGGAAAGGTAGCCCCAAGTCTTTGGATAAAGAACTCTTCAACAGCATGAAGACCACCCACCTTCCACCCACCCATCAAAGAGAACTTGGGCTTTGCTCCAGGCCTGTGACAGGAGATCCTCTGCACTTACAACCCAACTGAAGACTAGAAATTCAAATTTTTAAATCACCCAGCAGCAGGTCGAGGAGTTTCCTGTCTCAGCGTAATGGTAGTGTACACTAGATTTCTCACTGTCTGGTACACGGCCACCTTTACCTAAATTTAGGGTGTTATTGGAAGGATTCCTAATATGACTCACTGATCCTGAACACGGAATACATAGTTCCAAAGAATGAAAAACTAAAGTACTTTCTGTTTAGGGTTTGATGAACCATGAAGACTGCCACCTATCAATAACAAAAAAAAAAAAACTCAAGTTGTTTCAAACAGCAGTGACTTGGTCAAACTCAGACTGCACAGAAAATAAACAAAACACTTTCATGGATGGAAATAAGGGTTGCATTTCTATATCAGCAAACTTTAACTTAAATGAACCATTCAATATGGAAATAAAGCTAAATAAATATTAAGCAACACTATTTACCTGGAGATGCCGGTGCCATATACTGACGTAAGCATCGCTGCATTTTTATTCTCTCAAGTTTTTTTTTTAACATTTTTCTCATTGCAGAAACCGGTTTGACCTCATTTTCTTCCTTCCCGTCCATACCTTCCACTTCTTGCCCAGGTGCTCCTGCTCTCATTTTGACACTAGAATCTTATGAATATATTACAATTAATTAATATTGGTGCATAAATACCACAACAATGATGATGTACATTTAGGCATACTCTTCCATAAGATGGCAGGCTTAATCAGTGTTGAACACTCAATCTATCATGCACAGTATCTTTCTTCATACAATAATTTTTTTTATTAACCCTTTCAGGGTTTCTGACGTACTAGTACAGCTTATGCACCAGGGTTTTTGACGTACTAATACACCTAAATTCTAGCGCCCTCAAATGTGGCGAGAAAAAGCTGGTAGGCCTACATATGAAAGAATGAGTATGTGGTCAGTGTACACTGTATAAAAAAAAATCCTGCAGCACACAGTGCGTAATGAGAGAAAAAAAAAACGACCGTTTTGGTTTAAAACAGCGACTTTGCACTGTATTTTCGTATGGTATTTATGATGGTATTCTAGTTTTCCTGGACTCATTTTATAGAATGGAAGACATATTACAGAAATTGAGACAATTCTGATTGGTTTTACAATGAAAAGTACCTTGAAATTGAGCTCAAAGTAGCAGAAATCTTCGATTTCTGCCAAAGTTCAAAAGTAAACAAATCATTCTACGCACCCAATACACGTCAACTGGCAAGTCTAATATTCTTTCACGAGTGCGCTGATATTATTTATGCCATTTCTACACTACTGCAGTAGTCTGCATAACAGTAAATCTTCTATTTTTTGCGAGAATAAAAATTCAAAGTGGAAACAAAAGAATGTAAGAGGGGCGTGGGGACGTGACTAATGAACAGAGGAAATGTTATTTTAGTGCCAGGAATGTCTTTGTTTATTCTGGACCCTATTTGGAAATTGACATCTTTTGAAATTTGAGAGAAATTGGCAAAATTGCTGAATTCTGACTACTTTATTGGATAGTTGAAATCAGTACATGGGTGGTTTCTTGTACTCATTCGATAGAAAAAAAATGAAGTTCTAGCGAAAGTTATGATTTTTGTCGACTAGTACACTGGAATTGGCCGAAAATAGGGCTCAAGGTGGGCAAAATCGCCGATGCGTAAACATCGTCTAGACCGCTAAATTCACAAGACCATAATTCCGTAAGTTTTCCATAAAATTTCATACTTTTGGTGTCATTACGATCGGGAAAAGATTCTCTATCTTTTCGTAAGAATTTTTTTTTTTTTTTTTTTTTGAAAATTTGTCGACCCTGAGAACAAGTCTGGGAGAGGGCCTGTCGAACCTGAAAGGGTTAAGAAGAGCAGGACTGCAAATGAACAAGGCTTTAGTAAGGGTAAGGGGATGTCTAGACCAAGTGTTGACAGTGAAGCATGTGAGTGAACAATATTTAGATAAAGGGGAAGGAAGTTTTTGTTGCTGTCAGATTTCGAAAAGATATATGATAGGGGAGAACAGTGGCAGATGTTGCAAGTGTATGGAATAGGTGGCAGGCAGTGGTGCAGCTAGAGGGAGAACAAGGGGAGCGACTGCTTTCCCCTCTGAGCACATTTTTCAAAAGTGGTGTCTTTTCAACAAATTTTAAAGGTCTTTAGTTCACTTGTGCCAATGACATTCTATCATATGAGATGAAGAAAACGAGAATAGTACAACTATAAATACTATACGAAAATACACCTCAAAGTCAGAGTTTTAATCCAAAAAACACTGATTTTTTTTCTCATTATGCACTGCGTGCTGCAGGAATTTTTTTTATACTGTGCACACTGACCACACACACCCATTCTCTCACATGTGGGCCTACCAGCTTTCTCCCGCTTGATTTGAAGCCGCTAGAATACGTTAAAAACATTGGCTCACAAGACTTATATATGACGCCGACAGTCAAAGGGCTAAATTGAGGGTTTACTGCCCAATGGTGCATGGCAGAAGTAAGAGATGGTAGACGGGGAGAGGTAGAAACGCAGGAAGAGCAATAGCAGAAAGTAAATTAAGTAACAGTCAAATTATGTGCTAAACCTGTGTGGGTCATACAGACTGGCAGAAAGGAGAGGGAAGGAGGTTAACTGATGTAGCAAATCAGTGTCAGATAAGAAAGCAGTTTATTTTAACAGTGGGGCTATCAGAAGGTAGGCAAACCAAGAATGTCATGGAATTGAAAAGTATTAGATCTAGAGGGAAAATCAATTTTGTGATAATCTGCTTCATCCTATGATGTGTGTGATTTTTAAAGCACTCTTTGCATATCCTTTTTATTCATTAATTTAATTTTTAAGTCACAACCCTAGTTTGTCTGCCAGAAAGTGTACAGTATATAATTATGAGCTTTTCATAAAAGTAACAAACATGCAGTAACCCAATCATGAAGCATATATTCTTTTTATTAAATACTAAATACAGTACTCGATACTAGTACGTACTAATATTACTACTAACAACAATAATAATATTGGAATAATCTTCTTTCAACAAACTGGCCGTATCCCATCGAGGCAAGGCGAGCCAAAAAGAAAAATTCAAGTTTCTTTTAAAATTTAGTAATTTATACAGGAGAAGAGGTTACTAGCCCTTTGCTCCCGACATTTTAGTCGGGACACATGGCGTATGGAGGAAGAATTCTTTTCCCACTTCCCCATGGAAGTGGAATAATATACTACTACAGTAATCCCCCCATATCCACAGGTGATATTCCAGAAACTGCAGATAGCAGCAAACCCTATAGAAAAGTCTTTTCGTTTACATATTTACATAGCTATAATAAAGTTTAATTGATAAATCATGAACAGTAAATGGAGAATTAGCACTCTTATTGATGGGAAGTACTTCACAGCTTCTCTTAGGCTTTGAAGAACTGCCGCCACCATTACTTTTGTGCTTTGCTGCCATTATTAAGCAAAATTAAGGCTTATTTTCAGGTCATGGTAAATTGTGGATAACTGAAACTGGAAACTGAATCCATGGATACTGGGGTTCTGCTGTATTTACAAATACACCTATGATAATTGCAGTGGAACCTTTGTTTATGAGTGCTCCACCATGTGAGCTGTGGTTCGTACATTGGATTACGTGCGGCCAGCAGTAACAGCCTGGTTGATCAGGCCCTGATCCACCATGAGGCCTGGTCACAGACCAGACCATGGGGGTGTTGACCCCTGAACTCTCCATGTATACTCCAGGTTGCGAGCTTCCCCTTAAGGCAGGTTCCTTGACGCTGGTTAGGGGCTCTTGATCTAGGAAATTTTATCTGTGCTCCAGTTCCCTAAGTTAAGCCTGAATACCTTCCATCCCCACCCCCAAGTGCTGTATAATCCTCAAGGTTTAGCGCTTGCCCATTATAATAATATACATGTGCGTATAATACTACTATAATAACAAGCGAGCTTCAGAATGCCGCCACTAGATGGTACAGTGAAACTACATTATTATTATAATTAAAAAAAAAAAAAAAGAAGCGCTAAGCCACAAGGGCTATACAGCGCTGCAGGGCAGGAAGGAAGCGAGGGCATCAGGTGGCAAAAGGGAGGTGGATGAGTAATAGGTTACGGATAACAGCGGAGCAGTGGATGGTGAAAGGGTAAAGGGCAGCAAGAGACTGAGCTAGAAAGGGCTGAGGGGAGTGCGTAAGGTATCATCATCAGAGTTTGTGGAGTAAATCAGTCGTTGTCAAGAAGTCAATGAGAGAGTCAGGATTAAAGGAGGGTCCATCAGCAAGAAGGGAAAGGGTTTAAGAGAGAGTAGTAGAACGAAGACTGCGTTGGAGGTAATTCTGCGTGCTCGTTGATAGAGAGGGCAGTCTAACAGAATGTGGCTAATCGATACTGGAACTTGACACTGCTCACAGAGAGGTACAGGGTGCCTCTCCATGAGATACCCGTGAGTAAGACGAGTGTGGCCAATGCGAAGACGGGAGAGAGTGGTCTCCCAACCACGGCACTGATGACAAGAAGACGGCCAGTAACCTATGCTCGGTTTAATAGAATGAAGTTTGTTACCAAGCAGAGCTGACCAACGTTGTTGCCAACGGGCGCGAAGGTGGGCAGCTATTGTAGCAAAATAGTCCAGAAATGGAACACCTCTATAGGAAATTGGTAGGTCATGTACTGCTGACCGCGCAGCAGTGTCTGCCTGTTCATTGCCCTGTACGTCGACATGACCAGGGACCCAACAAAAAATATCATCTTCATGCTTCGTAGAGATACGGCGTAGCCAAAGTTGGATACGGAGAACTAGGGGGTGAGATGTATCAAATTTTCATATAGCCTGTAGAGCACTAAGGGAGTCTGAGACTACCACAAATGATGACACAGGCATAGATGCGACACGAATAAGTGCTGCAAGAATGGTATACAATTCAGCAGTAAAAATGCTAGCCGAAGATAGTAAATGCCCCCGCACGACGCTGTCCGGAAACACTGCTGCGAATCCGACGCCGTCTGAAGACTTAGAGCCATCTGTGTACACAGCGGTGGCATGAGAATGGGAGTAGAAGTGATCAAGAAAAAGAGAGCGGGAAGCCACGTAGGCAGTTGAGCTTTTGAGCAAGGGAGTGAGAAAGAACAGACCCGAACAGCTGGAACTTCCCAGGGGGGTAGGGAAAAGTGAGATGCTACATGAACATATAAAGGTGGTAACTGAAGAGAAGACAAGAGTGAATGTAGGCGAAGAGAAAAGGGACGGAGCAAACAGGGGCGGCGAACAAATAAAGAATGTTTACTAATATCGGTGACCATTCTATAAATGGAAGGATTGTGGAGATCGTGAGATAGTAGCGAAGGCAATGGGCATCACGGCGATCAGACAAGGATGGAACATTCGCTTCTGCATAGAGGCTCTCAACAGGGGAAGAGCGAAAAGCACCAAGGCACAAACGTAATCCTTGGTGATGGATAGAGTTTAAGGCTAGCGAGAGTAGCAGGAGAGGCCGCGGAATAAATCTGGTCACCATAATCGAGTTTCGATAAAACGAGGGCTGAATGTAGGCGAAGCAGAGTTCGACGATCAGCTCCCCAGGAAAGATGAGCAAGGATTTTAAGAAGGTTTAGCCGGCTGTGACAAGTTGCCTTCAGAG